CACCTATCTGTTAAATCCTTATGATGAGAAAGTCACATTTGAACATTTAGTGGCAGATGAGAATTGTATTGTTGCTTGAAAAATATTACTTCATTTTTACCTATTTGTAGTAGGAATTCACATGTGTGCCTTTGACATATTGTAAAATGCCAAATAACAGCCCTGAAAAGGCACTTAGGTTGAAAATTAAAAAGTGATTTAAAGCATAGCAGTTCTTTTAGCATTTAGGTGATTTTGGCATAGTTAAAGTAGTTCTTTTCAACACTTATGTGATTTTTTCATTATAGTTCTTTTGGCACTTGGGTGGCTTTAGCCTAGTAGTTTTTTTTTAGCACTTAGGTGACTGTTGCAGTGCCGACAATATAGAGCAGGTTTTCTGTAAAGCAAAGCACAACATGCCAGTCACAATATTAAGGGTAAGCACAGAATAATAAGCACAAGGAATATGAAGAGCTAGCCATAAGTGATCTGCTGTATCCATTCACATCAACCCTGGTCAGACTAGAAGGGAAAAGATACAGGAACAAATTCGAGGACACAGGGAGAAAACAATAAAGAGGATGACCAACGAAGAAAAGTCATGTATATAAAAAATTAGAGCCACACATTGAAACACAGACTGGAAGGAGCAGACTAGCTATTAGGATAGGAACATAAAGCCAAGTAGCTAGCACACACATTCGGCATAGCTACACCAGTTGGCATTCGATGGATGGTCAAGATCATGCTGGCCCCCCATTACTTTCAAGGACTGTACCTGGCACCCAATTCAAAGCTTGGTCAACCTGGGAGCCAAGGTCAATTCTGACAAAAAGTCCAGTTGTCCAGTTGTTAATAAGTGTGCCTGTTTATGTTATCTCTTTCATCTTGTTGGTTTGTTTAATGGTCTTCTCCCATTTAGCTCCTATGCGTAAACAGTTTATGTTTGTTATCTACCGCTCTTTCTGTTTACCCCAGCCATTGATTATATACGTACATATTTTTTATTCAACATCCCCAGCTGCATCTAAGACTACTGGCACTCTTCCATATCCTACTTCCTGCTGTTTGGGATGTTGTAACGCCCCTGTGGCTGTTACTGCCCCATGTATTCTAGCCAGCTCCCATTCCTCCCTTCCTTATCATCCACTTTGAGAAACTGTGGCTGGATGAGTCAGGGTCAGTGTAGACTTAACATTCTACAAAATTTATTTTGAGAACTGTCCTCCCTCCCTTGTCCTCTTTCTCTCTCCTTACTAAATTGACAATCCTCCTGTTTCATTTTTCCCACCACTGGTCTGGCTAGCCATTCTCATTTGCCAGATTGTCATACTGAGCATCATGAGCATACAGAAACTGCAGCAAATATTTTGAAGCTATTCTTCATAATTTTGCACTTATTAAATTTAGAAAACAGAACAATGATTTAAATTGTAGGCTTTTGTTTTATCATTTTTATAATTTGCATAAAAAGTTAATTAATACTTGTATTAATAGAAGTAACCCTGATTATTTCTTTTGTCAGCGTTTTGTAAGTTACACTTGTTTGTTAAGTTTTTTTAAGCATTTATTTGGTTTACCAATTGTATTGATAATCAGAATGATTATATTGTAATGAATGAATTCATTAATTTGAAAATAAATGTAAATTAACGGCTGTAGGTTGATTCCTACAGCGTAAGTCAGTTGACCCTTGTAATGTCAGTTACTTTCAGTCAGCACAAAGAAACATCTCATACAAAGTTTATCTATCCACAGCTTGTGCAGCCAGTACCAGACATGGTCACTCACAGAAAATTAGTGACTATGGCAGCGGTTCTCAATGTCGTGGCCTTTTCTCAAAAGTTGCCTAAGACCATCGAAAAACATATATTCATTGAAATTATGAAGGAAAATAATTGTTTGGGGGTCGCCACAACATGAGGGAACTGTATTAAAGGGTTGCAGCATTAGGAAGCTTGAGAACCACTGGACTTCGGAAATGATGTGTCCGAGAAAACCTGCAGGAGTGACCAGAATAGATAACATCAGGAATGAAGTCAAATGATAAATAGTCAACATAGAACCAATACTAAACAACACAATAAAGACAGCTAGCAAAATGGTTTTCACACTTAGAGAAAAGGCAGTTGTAGTGCCATAACATGCAAGGCATATATTAAAAGAGGAAATGACGTAGAGTACAAGGTAGACCAAGAACAAGATTTAAAAAAAATGTCAGAGAAACAATACAAAAAAAACAGTATGATGTGTCTATGGTTGAAATAGCCAGAAAAGCAAAAACCAGAACCTTATATCCCTTGACACCCCAGATGGTTAAAGAGGATATGAAGAAGAAGTGGTGTTAGAAATAGGTGCAGAGAAGTCTGTGTTGGCGAAGTGACATGGTATATGATCAGTGGTCACACTTACCATGAAAACAAAGAATGAACATCACCTGCACTGCTCAGCAGGGCTCTTGATGATGTTTCATTGATTTATGGGATTCTTTACTTTGAATTTACTTGTAGTTATTCTTTATTCTGTGTTGTTGCTTACTAAAACACATGTTGGGCTTACTGTTTTGCATTCCTATTTCCAGATACCTGGTATAGAAGTCATTCCATCGTCCGCAAACTCAAATGATAGCTCTAGTGCCGTATCCTTCTACACTTCAGCAACTGTGGCAGCCTCTCGACCCACACCCCAAGCATTTGAAGCCAATACAGGAGAGCTTCGACCATTCTGTGCTCTCTCCAAGTTGCAGAGCAGCTCAGATTTAACTCTTGAATCTGTTAGAAAATGCTTGGAGGAACGGTAAGGTCTTTATTTGTCCAACACAAGTGCAGCTACTCCAGAATGGACTAGCTAGACAATTAAGTTTGTCAGACAGCTACATTGGACGTAATACACAGAAATAAATTGCTGGTGGACTCTTGAGGTCTTCGAACCAGCATGTTAAATATATCAGTATGTTTTGGTTAGCACTTCTCCACCCTTAAAACAACTAGGCAGTCTGCATCTTTCCGCCCAACACATCCATTTTCTGCAAATCCTTAATTAGTCGCCTTTTACATCAAATATGTTAAGATGCAGCCAGTCAGTTCTACCCTGACACCCACCACTACCGTATTTAAAAAAAAACGTTGGAGTCTCGGAATCCTTGTTGAAGTACACATTAGACAAAATGATATATGAAAGCTATAGTTACCTTACCAGGAATTAAACCTGTCACCTCTAATTGACACAGGCACCTTGCTGCAGACACTGATTTTGAGCATTTTTGTGTGTAAATTTAATTTTTACCTGGGGGCCAAGATTAGTTTTGAAAAATGTCTGGCTCTATCAGGACCCAAACCCACATCCTACCGATCCGCAGGCAAGCGTCTAGCTGCTACACAGTAGCAGCTCCCTGCGAATTATAAGCATTGATTTATTTGTTGAATTGAAGAAATAGGGAGGTGAATGTTGGTGTACTTAACTAATGATTTTTCAATAGTTATGTTGAACGAGGCAAATATTGTCAGATAGTTGTTTCATGCGGTGAGTGTTGATAAATATGATTAGCAGTCACTTTTTTTTTTAATTGAAGTAAAGACCTTTCAAGCCATTGACATATTGAGTATATGATGCTAGATGCATATTTTTGCAGATCAGATGTCACTTAATGTAATGGGTCATAGGGGTCATCTTTGTGCCGGTCACCTTTACTTCTTACCTGGTGCCCATTTTAGGCTGAGTCAGTCTGGGAAGCAGGGTCATAGGGTCATTTTTATAAATATCTGCCTCAGTGCGGATTCAAGTCTTTTTTTATTTTAATGTTAAATCTACACATATGATATTCATTGTTCGTTACAGAATCATCCTCAGTGCACATCAGCCAGTAGTGCTCAGACTTCTCCCAAGACTTTTCATTTTGAAATTAGATGATATTTGATATTGATTACATTGTTTAAATACGTTGATTTGTATTTAAAATGGTCAGGGTGTCACAGACCTACTTTGCTATTTACTTACTCTGGCTCGTCGTGTAGGCCAGCTAACAGACTCAACCAACTACCATAGAACACACTCAAGTCACACACCTAAGGAGTACACACATAATCTTAAGTGAACAAAAAGCAATTCAACCTAAAGCAAGCCTCAACAGCTATGGACGGTCCCTAATCTGAAACGCCGGCGGTGGTAACTTTTACATTCACTAACACACACTGTGCCGTTCCCATTGATGTACCAAAGACCAAAATTCTTAATTCCACCTCACTGTCATACAGCACTAATTAGACTGCCGTCCTCACCACGTGAGACTCAGTGGCACACGTAGGGTGAGTGACCCAAGTATGAGTGGTAGTGTTAATGCCACCAACAATGCATGTCAACACTAACTACCTGCTTAACATATACGCAAAAAACATTACACGTGAGCAATCTTGTCAAAACACCGTATGGAAACGCATCATATCTAAAGACCTAATCTCAAACACTGTCCTTGCTAATCGTCACTAATATAAGATATGTTAACTGTCGCTGTCCGGCAAACGTCTCATCCAAGCATCCTACACAAGTCACTTTAAACAACTTCTGTCCGAGACTTTTGTTCCTCTCCAGGGTTCATCTCTGGCACGTTATACCTTGTAATACTCTTTGGGCGCAGGGCTTAGTCCAACTCAGCCGACACAGTTTATTCCGTGTTCAAACTGTCCGATCTCACTCTGAGTGTGTCTGAGGGTCATCTCGTTCACCCGTGATGATTCCTACCATCACACCTACTCATCCCGTAACCAAACTGGCCTGTGACACAGGGGGACACATTTAAAGTCATGCATCCTCGCTGCTGCTGCAGTCTCTCTTCAGGTTCCCATCTGGTTATTTATGGGAAGTGATTTTAGCACTTGTAAAAATGTGTATGCATCTAAAGTGGTCTTTCATCAAAAGTAAAAACATGTGAATCTTTATGAAAAATTGAATTCATTTATATATTACTTTGAAAATACTTTTGTTTTTGTGATTTGGATTACAACATTACTGTAAGTTCTTTTCTAATGCCAGCACTCTTCCCTTTCAGCCTCAACACGATGGACATGGTTTACAGAAGTCACAAGAATGAACTGGACAAGATTGTTTCAGATATTGCAGATGCTAAAGAGAACATTGAATCATGCGAGAAAAGAGCTCCAAACTTAGAGAGTCGATTTAGGTTTTTCCAGGAATTGAGGGGGTATGTTCGGGACTTGGTAGAATGCCTAAACGAGAAGGTATGTCCCTTCTGTTTCTTGCTCCTAAGCTGATTTGTCTAGAATACATTTCTCCCCAGTGCATTCCAGACTGAGAGAAATGTGTTAGGACTATTTGGCTATCCGCTCATTGATTACAAAGCATGGCTCACAAGTGTTGTAATTCAAGTTTCAAAGTGCCACCTTTTTTTTTCTCAATCGGCAGTAAATTTAAAAAAATATAATTGAGGGGTGGGGGGCTAGGAAGGGATGTATGTATTTTTAATAACTAGCTATTGGATGTTTGTAACTAGAGGGGACAGCCCTTCTTGTATATGGCATAAGTTTTTGTATGAAGTCAGGGGCCATGCTATGTTTGAGCTGTCACGCAATTTAGGCTGTCATCCTTGCCAAAATGTTTATCTTTTTATAAAAATGCATATGGTTTTTTTTTTCAGATTTACATCCGATGGATTTTTTTTTGTTAACCTACTTTTATATTTTAAAAGTGCTATTACAGTGTTTATGACTTTCTCATAGATGTGATTGAATAACTTGGCTTAGTTCATGGATCTCAGAGTCCCTATCCCACAGCAAAGATGGATGGTTTTCCTGTTGTAGTTTGGGCCTCTAGGCTTCAGACCTCTGATTGTTTTTTATCATTTACATCTTTTTTAAAACCCTCCACGTTTAGGTCTTGAATGTTGCATGTTTCAGTTTTATAATTGAAATATATGTTCCAGGTTGGCATTAACACATTTGTTCAAATTTCATTCATAACATATTCTCCTCATGTGATCACTTTGTTGTCACCCCAATTTCTTCAGAATTCTCATTTCCTGTGTTAGCGTTCGCTGGCTGTAAACTCCAGAGGGAAGTCCTGGCTGTTAGTCGTCCACATCTGGACTTGATCTTGTTCCAGGACTTGTATGTTGCATGCACATCAATTTTACAGCTCGGGCTCATTTATGGTCAGACTATTGGTTCCTTGCCTGTCGGGCAGATGTGCTCAGACTTTGACGGAAATGTCTCTAGTTTTTTCCCTGCAGTAGCCAAAGTCAGATCTCAAATGTTTTCAGTTTATGTTCTCTTTATTATAAATGAGCACCAGAATGGAGTGTAAGCTACTAATATTGTCACGTTCATTCTTTTTGTTGAACCATTATCTTTTTTTTTTTAGTGCAGCACCATGAATGACTTTAATGATTTTGATCTGTGCGTTTGACTGCTGTGTTCTGACTTGTTCTGTTTGTAATCTTCTTGTATGCTTTATTGTTACAATTTACTGAAGACCATAGTTGCGAGACCACTTGAAAAAAAAAAAGTAGAGGGCAGTTATAACAATGGAAAGACAAAATAAAGTAGTCAGGATACAACTGTGTTAGAATATTGTAAACTCTAGACCCTGCACAGAAGTTGCTGGAGGTATTAGCTGCCAACCGACAGTGCAGCATTGGATGCCGATGAATACTTCTTCAGTATTTCTCAGGAGATGGTTCATTGCAAGATTTGGGTAACTGTATTGTTTGCTTTAATATGTGAGTTTGTTCTGAAGTAATGCTTTGTATTTGTTTCTTCTGCTAGGTTCCAGGAATAGTTGAGCTGGAAAATCGCGTGAACAGTTTACTCAAGGCACGTGCAGATCGGCTGATCAAGCGGAGACAGCAGGATGTGCAAGACCAGTGTCGAGACTACATGACAAGTCTGTGTTGATGCTCTTTGCTTGTGGGCTGTTTGAATGTGTGGATGAAGACCACCTTATGAAAACTGCACACACATACTGAACACCTTACATTTCATGGGAGAACTAAGTGTTTTAATTTATACCAGTGTCAGGGTTCCCTAGGAAGGTTTTGTAGGAAGCTGAGAATTTAATCGATTTGCCCTAGAAACCTTTGGAGACCAGTATCATGTGTGTGTTGGTTATAGCTGAGAAAAAAGTTGGTTATTATAGTGAATATCACAATTTAAAAAAAATAATTATAGTGCACAGTTCAGATATCTCTTTGCTTTAATTGCTTTGCTATCTACCCAATCCCACCCGCTGCTTAGCAATACTTATAAACACAATTATTTTCAGTCAAAGATTTTGGGAACTACTGCTCTGGCATAAAGTTAATTGTTTTATTTTAAAATTGGTCTTCGCTCACATGCCCTGGGAAGTTGAGACAGTTGGTGTGATTTTGATCACATCACCAGCCCGAGTGCCTATAGTTCTATAAAAATATAAATCTAGCATCATGTGCCTGAATCACCGCTGGCATAAAAAGGGCCCTTTACTTACTGACTTTTGCTAGCGTAATGCAAACAGGATGTTATTATAATTCCTTGTAAGAGAAGCATGTATGTGCTCAAGACTCAACCCCCTTCTGCCTCAGTAGCCAGTAGGGATTGAGAATCAGACCTGTCATATTGCATGAAACTTAACTCTTTCAACTCCAAACTGCTGAATGTACATTTCTAAATCATTTCAAAGATAAAATAAATTACCTGCTGCCTTCTGTCACAGAAGAATATTATGTCAGTTTTTGTTGTCTAAATTACTACTCTTCTGATCACTCCTACAGTCTTTCTCAGACACCTCATTTCTTACCTCATTTCCATGGTTACTAATTTTCGTTTATGTTATGTTCACCACGTCTGGCACTGAAAGCATAGGGTGCTTCCGTCACAGAAAAATATGTTGGTCTCTTGCTTTGTAGTGTCTGTGTTGAGGTCCTTATGGCCATGTTATTTATTGCTTTTAAACACTTCGGGGCAGAATTAGTTAAAGTAACAATTGACTGGTACTGTAAGAGTTAAAACTAGATTATACACTGGGTGCAATGCAAAAATGTTGACGGTAAGTAGAATCTACACCAGTAACTTCACTCTTTAAAAAGCACAAAAACAGAACAGGAAATCTGACACCTGAGACTACACTCCATCTGTCTCTTGATGTTATCCTCCAGCTTATATCACTGTCTGCCTCTTTCTAGCTTGCCTTCAACTTTTCCCTTCACTCTAGTTTTTAATGATTGTGATATTTTAAATGTGTCTGAAATAAATCACGTCTTGTGTTAATTTTTATCAGCAACTCTCATTTCTTTCCTGATCTCTCTGTATCTGATTTGTGTTTTTTCCATGCTATACAAGTTATTCTTCTGAATTCTGATTGTTTATTTATATTCAGGGTTGATTTCCTAACTGGTTGTCCCAGATTGATGTTTGTCGTTTTAAATTATGAGTTGTGCTTGTCTTGGATGGATTGTATTATATAATTTATGAATTTGATTTGACTATAGTCATTTTAGTTAAATTCATGCTTGCCCAATCTTTTAAGCGCTTTTCCCTCACAGTTTGAAACCATAAGACCCCTCTTTAGTACGGTGTTAGGCCCATATTTTCCCATATTAGAAAACAATGATAATGTTTAACTTTTTTGCATGTGTTAATGAACAAAGTGTAGACAGTTTTGTAATTATTGTGATTTGTTTAGGCACGGCTCGTGTGAAAGTTGATGTTGAAGCACGCGAGGAGCAGATCAGACAGCGGCGGGCTGCAGAAAGAGAAGCCAGGAGGTCAGTTTTTGTTGTGTAGCTTTAAGTAAGGGATATTCTGGCCAACAGTTATGCATTTGTTCACAAACATTGCTCTGCATATGTGTGCGCGTGCGCACACTCTACCACAAATATGCATGCATTGGTTTATATTCACTGAACCATCTTTTGTCCTGGATGTAAAGTCTCTAAGACTAATGTTTCTCCATCTCTTGATATGATCCTCCCATTTATATTATTGTCTGCCTCTTGCTCACATACCTTCACCTTTGTCCTTCACTGTGGTTTTCAGGATTGTTATGTCATTTTAAATAGCTGAAATATTTTATATATCTGTTTTGTTTCCTTCGGCAGCTTTCTTTTCTGTTCTCGTTTCAACTGAACACCTGTAAATTAACTTTTTTTGTGTGTGTTTTTGTTTCCGTAAATATTCTTTTATATATCCACATCTCCAGAAATTCACTTAGATTTTTAAATTGCTTATTTGTTGTCCAGATCTCTGCACAATACAGCAGGGTTGAGTTTACTTAATATTTGACAGTTCACATTCCTAATGTCACTCAATTTTGTGTGTTGAACTTGTTTACTTGTGCCATTATGTTTTTACTGTGTCATTGATATACTTATATGTTAGCGAATCAGCTCATTATTGTTTGTTTTTTGTTAAAATAATGTTGAGTATAGGTATTAACCTTCTCTTCCCAAAAAAGCCAAATCTAGTCTCTCCCTGCTGTGACACAGCTCTCTTCATGCCGATATATTGCGATTTCTACAGTGACCTGCTCTAGCAAAGTGTAGTCAAATTCCACAGGTTCTGTGTATGCCTGCATAATTTTTACTAGGCTAGAACAACAGTCAGCAAACTCGTTAGTCAAAATCACAAAAAATCAGCAGCAGGGCGATTATATATATATAAATATATATATATATATTTTTTTAAGAACTAAATATCTTTTTTCAAGAACCATGTTTTTCGGAGTCAAAACCGATTTATGGCCGACTGGGCGAGCTGCACTCAGGCCGCTAAAGTGCGGCTCGTGAGTTGCGATTTGCTGACGACTGGGCTAGAAAATAAATATAGTAACTAGAAATAGCATAAGTGTTGTCTATATGACCCTAAATACTTTTTTTTTAAATCAGAAGGACACTGGACGCCTTATGTTGCGGTTTACAACTAGACTGAATTGTCTGCCTTTCAGCCTAACACATCCAGTTTCAACAAAGCCTTAATCTTTTTTCCCCCTTGTTTGTGGGTGAGCCTGCTCTTTTCCACCTGAAATGGGGCACGGAACCCACTCTTCGGTCAGGATTCATGAGAATATACCTATCTATAACTATCAAAGCAGGGTTTAGAAGAGTATACTATACATTTTAACCATAACCCCTGGATCAAAAGAAATTGGAGCACACTGTCTTATTCATACCCACTGTATCAAGGAAAAGAATATACTATTCTTTTCTGTACAAATTCAATCTGTTCCCACTGAATTAAACCAGATATGCTCCACGTACATGTAGAGTTTATACCTGTACCCTACTCCACCTTGCATTTGTATTTTTACACTGGGCTTTTATTCTTCTTCTTCTTTCGTTCGCCTGAAATAAGTTATCTATATCAGCAGTTTTGTCTCTTGTATAAATTTCACTGTCGTTGTTAGTTCATTCAGTGGTCCATAGAGTTTACGTTCCACTGTTGTTCTTTCTGGCCAAAAGGTTTGCCTTAATGTGTCAAAATCGGTGCAGTCCTGGAGTACATGCTCTGCGGTCTGGGGCACATTTCCACAGGTGCACATGGCTGATACACCTATCTTGAATTTTGTGTACATGTGGTAACGTAATCGGTTGTGCCCTGTTCTGAGGCGGAAGATAATGACTTGTTCTGGTCTGTCCATAATAAAATAGCCATCTTGTGCTGGGGCTGGTGGTTTCCTGATCGATTTAATGATTCTTTTCTTTTGGTGGTATGTGACTGGTACATCTGGCTGCTCTTTTGTCGCACCTTCCCCTGCCAGTTGATCAGCTTTCTCATTTCCAGGCACTCCACAATGAGACGGTATCCACTGCATTACGACTCTTCGGTGAACGCTGAGTTGTGTCAGCAGTGTTTGCAATTCTGGTAGTTTCCTAGACTGGAGTGCTTCAAGTACTGATTTAGCATCTGTAAGCATTACCACATACTGTGAGCCAAGGTTGGTATTTTGCAGTTTCTCTGTAGCTATCTTAATAGCCTGGGTTTCTGCATCGTAGTTATGGCAGTACTTCCCTGTTGGTACGCTGGACTTATCCCTAGTACCATCTGGGAATTCGATGTACACTCCAGCACCACCATTTCTAACTGCACTTTCTGCAGACCCATCTGTATAGACTCTGACCCATTGTTCTTGTGGGTATTCTTCATCAATATAACTGAGGGTGGCCATTTTGCATTGTACACTATCTTGCTCTTTCTTGTCAAATATCCCTTTCACATTTGTCTGGATTTGTACCGTTAGTTTACATTTTTCTCTCCGTGGGGTTTGTTCCGGAATACTTTTAAGTGGGCAGCCAGTTTCTGGAAGGTCAGGAGTTTGTCTACATATTCTTTTTGCTTGGTGTATAAAGCTGCTTCTTTTTAACCGTCCCAAGGCTAGGTTCTTAAATCTATTTTCCATCGGGTGATCTGGCATACTGAGGAACTTTTCAGCTTGTATTTGCAACTTTGTATCTCTGCGTTATTTCAGTGCCTGTGTTTTCCCAGCTTTCTCCATTTCTAATATGGGGGTTGATTTCATCCCTCCTGTGATGACTCTGAGCGCTTGATTTTGCACTTTGTCCAACTCCTTTAATGTGGTACTAGATGCTGAACACCATGCAGTTGACCCATATTCCAAGTGTGGAAGTATGCTCTGCTTGTATACTTTATTGAGTATTTTCCCATCTGCTCTCCATGTGGTTCCACTTAGTTTTCTTAGTATTGCTGTCTTCCTCCTGGCTTTGGTTGCTGCCTTGTTGATATGTTTTCTCCATGTCAACCTGTCATCAAATGTGACTCCTAGGTATGTGGGCTCTTTATCATCTCTCAGGGGTATTTCGTTTATTTTGATGGTGCCGGCTTTTTGCTTTGGGGAGAGGGTGAATAGTGTGGTGCTACATTTGTCTGTGTTGATGCTGACACACCATCTATTGGCCCATGCCTCAAGTGCATTTGTAGCCCGCTGGGCTTTTATTGTTATAGATATATTTTATTTATTCCTTTTTTACGTCAGCATGTAAATGTGTTTTTTAAATGAGATCAGTAAATTATTGATTAAAACCTTGTTTCTTCTGTCTTCTTTTCAGAGCCAGAAGACGACGAGCACGGGAAGCTAAGAACATATCAGGACATCATGATGGACTGTCGTCTGATGATGAGGAAAGCAGTCAGTCATTGATGCTCAAGTTCACTTCTGATATGGGTACAACTCTGTTTCTTTTGTTTTTAACAATATTTAACTGTGAAAACTATTATATGTTTGGCATTTCATGATATTTTACTATCACACATCATTGTCATTATCATTTAGCTTAGTCCACTAGCTCCCAGTTATCTAAAGCCTGTAGGACCCTCTTGGTTTTGAAGCTCTGTCAGAGACCTCATAATATTTAAGTCATGCTTAAAAGAGAGAGTAAATTTATATTAGAATCTTAAAGTTATTGCATTCTTCATGTGCTTTCACCCTGCAAATGGTGCGCAGTGTTATGGTTTCCAGCTAGGCTGCGATATCTGCACCTTTGCGCCCCATACACATGATTCCAGCAAACTCCAAATTGGTTAGCTTGTACAATATGTTTGTTATAGGCCAATGGGTCTGTTCTGTTGTCCCCCAAATGGGGCCCTGGAGCCCACACTGGAATATTACATTCTATACAGTGAGGTTTTTTTTTTTTTTTTTTGATACAGTATAAAAAGGACCCCTTAAATCGTGAATAGAGAGTATTTTCCAGTAGAGTGTTTGTGATAATCTATATATTATTATGCTAGTAAGAGTTGACATGGCTCACATTTTCCCCTCCCATATCATTACTGCCTGAGAAATTTAACAAGTTTGTAGATGTTGCTATCTTCTTCAGCATTATGAGCCCTTGTGGTTTGTTGCTACTGGTATCACCCGCCTCTGGCTTTCTCTTTTGCCAGTTAGTGAAACCAGGTGTTTATATGTCTACTTGAATATTATTTCTCCATCGTGATCTTGTTCTGCCCCAGGGTCTGTGACCATTCAGCTCCACAGTTTTTACCACTCTGTCAGGATTTTACAGTAGAAAAAAAAAAAAAAGAAGAAATAAGTAACAGATTTTATTTTTTTACAGTTCTGTATAGATACTGTAATGTTAGTGCAAAGTGTAGACCTATTGTTTATGCCAGCCACCTTTATATTAAAGTGAGGTCAGCGGCTTCCTTTCTTGCTGATAATTTTTTTCAGAAACATATCTTCCCCGTATGGCTTCCGGGCCCCATTTTGGGAGAAAATGAGAATAGACCCAGTTCCTCTTAACAAGCGTGTCATAAAAGGTGTATAATTAAATTTTGCTGAAATCAGCTGTGTTGGGCTGAAAGATGCAGATACCGCAGTCTAGTTCTAAATCACGACACAGTGTATGAACCACCCTTATAATGATAGGTGCAGAGGAATGAGAAGAAAACATACCTTCTCCACAAGACTGGGTTGATCCAGAGCTTTTGCAGTCAGTGCAAAATCCAGTTCCCCGTGGGGGGTCTTTGGGGCCCTATTGTAGGGAAAACAAGAATAGAACCACAGCCTACACAGAAGCTTGTCATAAGAGTCAACTGATTGGGAGCTTCATAGTCTGCTTACAAATAAGTCGGATCTGTGAAACGGATGCACATGCAACACTCAGGTTCTGGAATAAGACTGCAGTCCTGATGTGGACGAACAACCAGATCTTTCTGCCAGAGTTTGCAGCTGGTGAACGCGAAGAAGAAGACAATCCAGTCCTATTGCTGTAGACTGATCGATCCCCTAACCACTCACGATTACACTATCATGTGACTCATAACCCTGTCATCCATCCAGAGAAAACCATACAAATAATAGTTTCATTTTGGAGAATAAAGAATAGACCCCCCCCCCCCCCCCCCTCTCTCCCCTTCCCCAACAAACGTCATATAAAGTGACTAATTATGGGTGTTTCCTTCAGAATTGGAGCACAGCTACCTGAGATACTGTGAACCAACAGTCAGTATTTTTAAAAAAGCCAGTTCTGGATCAAGATTAAAGTCCAGGGGTGGACAAACAACCGGAACTTTCTGCTGGAGTTTACTGCCTGTGGACATAAAGAAAAAATTTTCACCATATTTAACATCTGTTTAGGATCTGTAATTGTAATGTGTTTTTTTTTAACACCAATTTCTAGGTTCCCCCTTTTCCCCCCTGTTTTTAACAACCACTTTCAATTTGTATGCTTTCACAGAGGAAATCCAAAAGGCTCAAGAAACCTTGTTTGATGATGTAGTGGAGGACTTCTCCGAAATTGAATATGTGAAAGAGCAGTTTGAAAAGTGGAAGTTCACTTACAAAGACACCTACAGAGAAGCTTATATTGGATTATGCTTGCCGAAACTCTTTACTCCACTTATAAGGAATGAGCTGTTATTGTGGAATCCCCTCAGTGTTAGTACTGTTTTTGTATTTTTGTATATTCATATTTAAGTTAATACAGTAAAACCTAGTTAAAACAAGACACATTTCAAAGGACATAAAATCGATTTCATGTTTAAAAAAAATTTTGCCAACTCTGAGAATTAATAACATTAATAATAATAATAATCCTTGTTAGGACCAAAATTTTGTTCATATTAACTGAGTGTTTTTAAATGTTTGTATTAATGAGGTTTTACTGTATAATTCTTGATGTTTTAAAAACAAGCATATTAAGACGAGCATTGACTTTACATCACCTGGTTTTTTGTTATATGGCTCGGTCTCTCTCTCTCTCTTTCTCTCTCTCTCTCTCTCTCTCTCTCTCTCTCTCTCTCTCTCTCTCTCTCTTTCTCTTTCTCTCTCTCTCTCTCTCTCTCTCTCTCTCTTCTTCCTCCCCCCCCCCCCCCTCTCTCTCAAAAAATACTGTGGACAAAAAAGAAAAGAAATTATGACATCCTAAAAGATCTGAACATCAAAGAAGATTGATTAGTAAACAGCATCTTGCCTCAAAAACTCAAATATTTTGGCCATATCAAGCACCGTGCTGAACTAGAAAAAATAACAGCAGATTGCAGGGTGTCAGGAAAGAGGATCAGAGGCTGACGAGCGAAAAGCACAGGACACCTTGGGGAGGAAAGTATGTGAGGCAAGAGATCTGGGAGGAGACTAGGTTTCTTTGAGGCTAGCTGTGATGACTTTTACACACATTTTGGAGACAGTGACTGCAGCTGTGTGATGGCTGTGAAATAGTACAGCCTGACGTCCTGTTGGCGGTGGGCTGGGGAACTGATATTGTGTGTATAGAGTGGCTTGTATCTCTTAATTACAGCTCATTTCACACACATGTCATGCATTTCTCAGCACATGACATGTGCAAGCCAATGAGCAGGCTGATAAATTGGCTGTGCTGTTCTTTAGGTAGCAAGATACTTTATGATAAGTTGACATTTAAAAAGGCTGTGAGATCAGGTGGATAGAACTGCAGAACAGATAAGGTATTTGTACCTGAAGAAACTAATTCAGCAGAGACTGAGCAGAGGATTTGGATGACCTGGGAAAGGATAAGCTTATTTGAAACTTACTTTGCCATTCTTTTAGCTGTTGTGAAGGTCATTGTTCTAGCTGTTATCGTAGATTCTCTTCAATATTTCATTATCTGTCACCCCACTTTTCTTCACTTACATTACCTTTGTTAATGATTGTTTTCTTCAATTGTCACAGATTGTCCAGCATTTGTGACAGATCATCTTCATTGTTCCAACATGAGTCAAATATTTGTCTTCATTGTTCCAGCAATTGTCACATATTTGTCTTTATTGGTTCAGCATTTGTCACAGATTGTCTTCATTGCTCCACCATTTGTCTCAGATTGACTTCATTGGTCCAGCATTTGTCTCATGATGTCTTCATTGGTCCAGCATTTGTCTCATGATGTCTTCATTGGTCCAGCATTTGTCTCATGATGTCTTCATTGGTCCAGCATTTGTCTCATTTGTCTTCATTGGTCCAGCATTTGTCACATGATGTCTTCACTGGTCCAGCAATTCTCACATATTTGTCTTTATTGTTTTATCATTTGTCTCATGATGTCTCCATTGGTCCAGCAATTGTCACATATTTGTCTTTATTGTTTCAGCATTTGTCACAGATTGTCTTCATTGCTCCACCATTTGTCTCAGATTGACTTCATTGGTCCAGCATTTGTCTCATGATGTCTCCATTAGTCCAGCAATTGTCACATATTTGTCTTTATTGTTTCAGCCTTTGTCACAGATTGTCTTCATTGGTCCAGTATTTGTCTCATTGGTCCAGCATTTGTCACATGATGTCTTCACTGGTCCAGCATTTGTCACATGATGTCTTCACTGGTCCAGCATTTGTCACATGTTGTCTTCATTGTTCCAGTATTTGTCACGAGAAGTCTTCATTGGTCCAGCATTTGTCACATGATGTCTTCACTGGTCCAGCATTTGTCACATGATGTCTTCACTGGTCCAGCATTTGTCACATGTTGTCTTCATTGTTCCAGCATTTGTCACGAGAAGTCTTCATTGGTCCAGCATTTGTCACGTGATGTCTTCATTGGTCTAGTATTTGTCACATATTGGCTTTACTATTCTAATTTTTCTCACAGATTGTCCTGATTTTTCTAGCATTTGTCACAGGCTATCTTCAGTTGTCTAACATTCTTTATTGACTTGTGTTTTTCTCTTGGCAGGAAGCTTGTGAGGACTTTGAAGACAGTCATTGGTTTAATTCTTTGATGTTCCTGGGCTTTAAAGAAGGAGATGACATGGATATATCTGACGATGACCTTCGGACATTACCATCACTTATAGAGAAACTTATTCTGCCCAAATTGACCTGTAGGTTTTGAAATAAATATGCACAATTTGCTTGTTTTACAGGGAAATATTGCAATGTTGGACTTTGTTTTATTCTGTGAACATTTTTTGTTGTTGCCATTTATGCAATGAATTGCATATGCAACTAAGGTTGTTGCGTATCCTTTACAGGACGTTGCAGAACCAACCCCAACAGCCCCTGGCTGTTGTGTGGTTTTTCTAGGCAATTTACGTCCAGTAGTAGTTTGTCATTGCTTTCTGGACTGTCAGCTTTCTTGATACCACTGTCGAAACCAACGCAAAGTGCATGGCCAGCAGCTGGGATCGAGCATATGCAACTACTGATCTGTTATGGTGGGGGGGGGGGGGGGGGGGTTGATAATAAGCAAATAGAGGAACAGGCAGGTTTTCTGCAAAACAACTCCTGTACTGACCAGATAGCAACAAAAGTATAAAAATAGAGCAAAGCATTGAATTAAATTCACCACTTTACATTGGATTCATAGACTAGGAAGAAGCTTCAGATTGGGAATCTCTCTGGAAATTAATGGGCACTATGGAATACAACAGATAATTATTAATTAGGCAACATACAAAGACGTGAAATGTTGAGTTCTTCATGAGGGAAGCTAACAGATACACTCAAAATAAAAAGTGTGCAACACTGGTGTCTTTTGTCACCTCTCCTATTTTTACTGGTAGCAGACTGGATTATGAAGACAGGAACTGCTAACACCAGGAATGGAATTCAGTAGACCCCAACAAAATTGCCTAATGATCTGGACTTTGAATATTTCTCTTCTTTCCCACTGATGGAATCAGACGCAAGATAAATTAACTATACCTGATGCAAGATTTGCAACAGCTAGGTCTGCAAATCCATAAGGGAAAGACAAAGATAATGAGAATAAACAAGGCAAATAGTAATTTGATTTCACTCTATGGTATGCCACTCCATGATGTGGAGTCATACACCTTTTTGGGCAGTAATGTAGATAAAGATGGGGGAATTGATAAAGATATTAAAACACAAAAACAAGAGGCAAGAGGAGCTTTGATTTCACTAGGAAATTTGTAGAGGTCTAACAAAATTTAAACTAAAACTGAACTTCAGATGTTTCATTATAATGTCAAATCAGTGCTCTTGTGTGGAGCAGAAACATGAACCAGCTAAGGCGGTTACTAATAAACTACATACATTCATAAACTAGTGCCTGTGCAGAATAGAGTGAATTAAATGGTGATTGAATCACTAATGTAGAGCTTTGGGAGAGACCTAAACGAGTTCCATTGGACCAGGTGGTGAAGAAAACATAATGGCCTTGGATAGGACACATGTTTAGAAAACCTGAGAACAATATAACTAAAATATCTTTGCACTGGAACCCACAGGGGCATATAAATAAAGGAAGACCATAATACACATGGAGAAGGGAGCTAAAGAGTGAAATTAAAAAGATGAGGAAAGCTTCATAGAACAGCGAAGGATAGAACGACTTGGCCTGAGTTGGTTGAGGGCGTATGCTCCATTGGGGGTCAGAAGGCAAAAAGTGAAGAACTACAGATCTGTTTTCTTCAACTGACTATGAACTGCATTTCTAGTGTCAGTCTGTTTGTGTTGTCACTTGTGGTGGCTGCCTGATGTATTTAATGTGTCTACTATTGGATTTCCTGACACTGCAGTCTGTGTCAATTGTTTCCACAAGGGACAGTGATGGGCAGTCTGGTTTTCTTCAGCGCAGAAACAGCAATTATGGGGTGACCTGTTTGCTATGTATACTTTTGCTTCTTAATCATCATTTTCTTGTTTTCTTGTTGGTTTGCGGATATAAACAAGAGGGGCATATGACAGAGTGGTTAGAGTACAGGACTGATGCCCAGGTTTTAATCCTGGGTATGCTTATGACAAATTTTTATATTGAGGGGAAAAACAAAGATTCTGACCTGCACTGTTTATGCTGACCGCATTAGCCCCTCTGCCCTAAATCCATATGCCCAAGGCAGCCTGTCTGCAGTATTCTACAGTGTATAAATACACAAAGTAAAGACTTTACCAGTAAAGTTGTTCATTTGTAAACATGCAAGTTTTTTGCTGCAGTTGAATTTTGTGTGTGTGTGGTAACTTTTATCATTTAAAAAAATGTTATCTCTGCAGTCACATTTCACACTAATTTGTTTTTCCACATTAGTGTAGCTGCAGTCGACATCCCGTCTGTCACATTCTCTTAGCTTTGATTCTCTCTTGTTACAGTTTTGATTGAAAATGTTTGGGATCCTTTGTCCACAACTCAGACAGCGAGGCTGGTCAATCTGACCATGAAACTGACCAGAGACTACCCTACAGTCCATGCAAAGAGCAAAAATTTCAGGGTGAGAAATCATAAACTTCTTCCCTATGTTTAAATCTGAAATTTCATAGTTTGTTTTGTCTGTTTGTGATCTTTAAAATGTTCAGTGCTTTAAACAAAATTGTACATTTGTTGTTTATTTAATTCCTTTGAAATGTCAGGGTCAGAAGATAACACATTTGTTGCATGTTTGAAATCCCTGACAGGTAGACTTCTTCTGCCTTGCCTCATAAAAAAGATTCTGAGAATTGTAAACAAACTACTACTTTTTAAAAGCAACCACAAGTAACAAAGTCCTTCAGAAGGAAACAACAAAGTATAACTGGAACTAGCCTAAATAACCAAGTATTCTTAAATATTTGGTTACCTTGATAACATCAGTATTATTTTTTTTAAGTGCGTTCACTGGAGGTAAACTCTGACAGAAAGTTCTGGTTGTTCATCCACCTTGTGGACTTTAGACTTGTTTCAGAACTGGAGTGTTGCATGTGCATCCATTTCACAGATCTGACTTACTTGTATGCAGACTGTTGGATCCTTGCCTTTCAGGCAGATGTGCTCAGACTTTAAAGAAGAAGAAGAAAAAAATTGAATGTAGAATAGCAGAAGCAGCAATAACATGGAGAGGAGAATTTTGTGCAGTATCTGTTTATCATCTGAGCTATTTAGAGCTCATCCTGGTACATGGAAGGGAATCATTGCCAGCAAAGTAGTGAGAAATTATATAGAAGTTTCCAAAATATGATGGAATTCCTGGACGTCTCATCCAAAAGGCACAGTTATCACAGAGCTGCTGTAAATGTTTACAAATTATGCCCAAACCCATCAAATATTTGACAAATGAGCAAAGACATTGTTCATTTCGTGTGTAAGGTAGAATTGTTCATCTTATTTTTTCTCTTCTCTACCATTCTACCGTTTAGGCGGAGTTTCTCTTGTTCTGCTGCCACTGAGGCAGCCCTTGCAAAGGATGCTTTAGTTGAATAAATAACTGTTCTTTACTAACATAAATATCCAAAGTAACTGTTAATTTTGGTTTCGGACATCAAAGAATTTGGAAATTTCGTCAAAATTAACTCTAACCAACCTGCTTTGCAAGCAAATTATAGAGAAGATCAAGATAAAGAGCAGTAGAACGACTCAGGAAAATATGGCATGAAGTAGCAAAAGATATATTTAACAAGTGAAATGTATCATTAGTTAAGGGCTAAACACCTTCAATGGTCTCTCTGTGACGCTTTATGGCACAAGCAGTCAGACAAAAGAAAGAAGATAGCCTTGTTTACAATCCAGCTTTAAAGATTTTAAGAAGATAGTTTGGCCAAAATAGTGTGAGCAAAAAAACTCATATATTTATGATTTTTCAAAATGTTTAAACATAAAACATTTTTTTGTGTAGTCCTGTGTTCAATTTTTCTGCTTAATTACAGAGTTACCTTGAAGCTGTAGTAACACGTTTGAAGAAAACACTGGATGATGATGTTTTCATGCCAATATACCCTCTCAGGTAAGAATATGACATAAGATGTATTTTGAGTCTGTCAGTTTCAATAGTTCTGTGTTACTTAGTTAAAACAGGTCAAGAATCTATCATGTGTGGATGGCTCTGTATTCCTGAAGTGATACATGTTTTGAATTTGTCATCATTATTGGTTGAGAAATGTCTTGAAATTAATTAAGTTTGGACAGCTCTGTTCTTTAGTTGAGACACATCTTGAATCTGTCAGAGGTGGACATTTCTGTGTAACTTTATTGATTTTACATGAATCGTTTAGGAATGCTATATAATAATTTTGTTTTATTGATGCCTTATTTGTCATTGGGGAAGGGGGTGCTGTGGTTTAGCGGCTAAACGCTTACCTGAGGATCAAAAGGTCATGGGTTCATCTCCTTTCGGAGCCAGACTTAAAAAAAAAATGAATTTGGCTTCCAGATTGACCCAGCCTTAAAGGGGTACAAGGTAAAGTCCTGGGAAATAAAGGCAGCTGTCATTATGTTGACCACATCACCTACCGAGTGCTGATTGATCCATAAATTAAAGGTGTAGCCTGCTTGACTGATTGACGTTTAACCCCACCAGGACATCACACCGAGCAGTAAATAAAATTATGGATACATTTATAAGAGAAAAAAAGGCTTAGAATTCTTGATTTTAGTTTTACCGTTTATAAAACTGTGATATTGATTCATCTGCAGTGTTCTGGAAAACAGATCTTCAGGCCCAGCAGTGTTCTTTCACCGCCAGTCATGGACTTGTATCAAGGTTAGTTGATTTAAAGATCCTCTTTCATCAGCTGGAAGCCGGAGACTTCATTGCCCACATAAAAAAAAAAAGGTGTGTCTACATTCTCATGTCTTGAGGAGGTGATAGATGTAATACATCTTGATGATGGGAAATTTATAGGAAAGAGAGTCAGAGGGAGACAAAGAGAGATGATGTTGGACCATTCTTCAGCTTCATGGTGTGGAAGATTATCCACCGTCTGACAGTTGAATAATGAAATTGTATTATGGCTAAGGCAGACACACTATCTAGGAAGCAAAGCATGTCATCCAGTTTAGCAGCTTTTATCTGTGATGTGGCAAAATTGTAACGGCACCTGGTCAGCAGACATGAAGTAAGGTGTACCTGCCAGTTTGTTTAGTTAGTGAGAGGTGCGTGGTTACATATGCAACCTGCATCAAAGAGGGGACATTAAATTCTGGTTTCAACTCAAGGCAAAAGATTGCTAATAAGACAGTTGAACTGATATAACAAGTTTATGGGGATCAATATTTATCTTGTCTAGGCTTTAGCATATGATGCTAGACCCGTTATCCAGTATATTTCAGGGTGTGGAATTTATTGCATATACATTTGTTCCTCTCCACTTTCCCATATTTTTTTCCCTGCTCCCTTTTTAATTACACACCCCCCCCCCCCCCCCACCTTTTCTTTTTTCCCTTGATTTCATTTTACACATTTTTAAATGAACAAATATGCTTTATTGATAAAATACAATTGCTATGTGAAAAGATGACTGTTTGGAAGGGTCCAATGTAAGACGGGCCTTTGTGCCTAAATTGTAACGCTTTGAAAATAACAAACATTTGTTTGTTCGTTAGCTCTCTCTCTGTGTGTGTGTGTGCGTGTGTTTGCGTGTGTTTCTCTTTCTCTTTCCTACCCTTCCCCCCTCTCTCTCTTCCCCATGTTTACATGCATATTCTCACTTGTATTCTCAGTTACTTGGCAACATCCTATCCTGGCATCAGCTCATATCGGGTCCAGTGTTACAAAAACTGGCATTGTCTGGCTTACTGAACAGATACATTGTGGTGGGCCTGGTCTCTTCATCTGTCAACAGAGAAGCTCTGCACAAGTGTCAGGCGGTAAGTGAATTAGGCAGAAATGCTAGCTTAATTATGTTGCAGATTTCATTTAGTCTGTTAGCTTATCTTTGTTGCTTTCCTTCTACACCACAGTGTCCAGGAAAATGAGATATCATCATCATTGACAGTACTGTTAAAGACACATTAATTAATCTACTTACTTTCTACCTGACTCTTATAAAGAATAAGTCATTCTTCGAGAGAGGCTGGACCAAATAGGATCATCTCATGTGCAATGAAGTTTACCTTCTTACCTTTAAAAAAAACCTTTAAAATATAAATTTTAAAGAAATGTAGCTAAAGTTTGAATTTTCTATAAACAACCCGACTTACATTTAAATATTTAAAAGACAATCGCATTGATGTTTGATCTACAAGCAGAATGTTTACTTGTTTAGACATCATACAGGTGGAAGATGTATACATGTTCTGAAAAGGGTGAAAGACACTGCACCTAGGCCTGACTTGGTTAGATATTCTTACATGAGGGCCATGAGGGATGCAGACCTGATGGAGATGACTGCCAGTTTCAGCCAAAGCACTGGACAGCTTCAGTGCCACAAGAGTGAATCTTTCAGCACTCAGCAGCTTTAGGATCATAACCCTACAAAATACTTTTGATAAAACACAGGAGAAGATAGTGGCAGGTAAGCTGCAGGAATTTTTGGAACAGCGAAAGCTTTTTCCAAGAGGTTTGCGAAGCTACCGGCCAAAGAAAGATGCATGGTCAAATGCAGCCACTTTTGTCTTTGACATTAATTTTTTTCTAAGGTTCACATAGAGGAGGTTGTGACAAAGACCCAAAAAGGTCTTAATGCACTAAAGATATGGCAGCGATGGACATGTAGCCAAGAATGCTGTTCACACTTTACCAGCGCTTAATCATCTCAGTGATTGATTATGGAATGGGGTTGCTCACGGTCTTGAAGAGTCAGCTAGTGAACCCAGAGTGCATACAGAATGAAGCTGTGCGGGTGAAACTAGGATGTACAAGAGACACCCCAGTTTTGTACATGTGATACATCCTTGCATTGCTGACTATTGCAGATAGGCTAAAGGTGCTGCAGGCCCAGTCATACCTCAGAGTAGCTGCAGACAAAGAACACCCTCTGTATGAAGCTTTGGCTGCAGATAAGGGTCAGAGGCTGAAAAGGAGAATATCATGGATGGCTCAAGCAGAAGACACAATAAGACAAGTATTCATGTTGGAGAACACTGGGCGAAGAGAGGAGATGGTCACAGTACCAGAGAAAAAGTCTGACCTGTGTACAGTCATGATCACATTAGGCCAGGAATTCAGAAAGTGACCAGCAGGTGCTTCGGAGGCAGAAGTCCAACAGTTGATTCATGACTATTCTCATCCAGATGATCTAGTTATTTATACTGATGACTGTTAAGAGGAAAGAGATGGGGTTTCATTGCGAAAACCGCTGAAAGATTTTAGTGCACCACATCTCAGCATATGATACCACAACATCATAAATGAGAGTGGAGGTGGAGATGGTCACTAGCATTCTGGTGGCTAAAGAAACGATGCTTACACATGCAGTTGTAACAGACTATGAAAGTATGCTGAGAAAAGAGAAGACAGGGATGCTTCGAGCAGAGTAGTAAGTTTCACTTGAAGGTCACGGGTAGAGAGCATAATTTGGATCTTTTGTCCAGGCTCTGTCAGTGTGATGGGGAAAGAATAGTCAGATTGGCTGGATCTGCACCACTGGGTGATGAATAATAATTGACATGGCAGATGTGATCAAGGCCCTTTGGAAATAAGTAATGAAGTCAGAAGATAATCTAGATTATTATGGCCTAGAGAGAATGTGGCACCTGAGTGTAAATAGAGGTTCTGGCCGGCTCACTACACTCAGAGGAAAGGCAAGACAGACATATAACTAGACTACGACCGGTACTATTAGTATTGGAACTTTGTGCTTTCTGCTGGAGATGATGAAGGAGCGCATATGGGAACACCCTGAGTTCTGTGATGTCAATTGTTGACTCAACTCAACACAGCTTGTTAAATTGAAACTGATTTGTCACATTGCATGCTCACTTGTCATTACGAATCCTGTTTTATATCACACTGTATGCCATGCTGGTCTTATCACACTGAGCGCTTACTTGTCACATTGACTTTTAACTTATTGCATTTAGTGCTGACATGTTACATTGAATGCTCACTTGTAACATTAACTATTAACTTGTAACATTGAGTGCTGACTATCTTTTCCACTGAACAGATCATCTCAACCTTCCCCAAAGACTGGTTCAGCAGTTTAGAAGGGGACTCAACAATTCCACAGCTAGAGAATCTCTGTCGTTATCTAGTGTCGGCAGCCAAAACTCTACACAAAGCCACAGCACTTGAGAAGGATAACGAGCGATTAGAAGGAAGGTAAGTTACAGTGTATTGATATGGATTCTGTAAATTACACTTGCACTTGCTAGTGGTGTCTGCCACCTTTTCTCTGTTAATTCTAAATATTGACCAGTGTCCAAACCAAACCTCCTACTTTTGCCAACAGCTTTGAGCAGAGGAGCACACTAGGGAAGGATACTAGTCTTATCCTTGGATGAGGAAATTCAACCTTAAAACTATATGGTGTAGCAGGACAGACCAGGCCCTTAGCCTTCGTTGAAAGTTAGTCTATGAAGAGAAACAATAACAGGCTGACATTTATAGCAATACTCTTCTGGTTTAACAGCTTCTGCTGCCTGTTGCTGCATGCAGGATTCAGGCTTTTGAACATAGTGCTGTTGATGCATTTTACAAATGAGCTATTTAGAACGTAAAACTAAGAGGCCAAAAGTAAACAGATATTTAGGGCGTGAGGAGCGTCTTTTGGCATTGGTGAATTTTTTGGTTCAGGCACATGCTGAGAAGTAATTCAATTGTAGAGGAGACTATACTTCAAGGAACTGGAGGGGTAGTCGAAGAGGAAAGAGGGGGTATGAACCTGGAATGACATCAAGAAATGGACTGGACTGCATTTGTATACACTTGTTCAACAAGCAGACGACAGAGAAAGATGGCGGGTTTTGTATGCTAATGCTTCCATTGATAACCTTCACGACCCTGACAGGTCAAGGGTTATTATGTGTGTATTATGCTGCATGTTTTACTTATATTGCAAGATGTATTGTTATTCTTGACCCTACCACCCCAAGAGGCCGAAAAATCAACACTTCGGATTAAGTCTGTTTCTCCATTAATGTAACTTTCTGAATTCTGTGTAGTCACCTGTTTACGAGATGTGTAGTTAATGCTGTTGGCTGTTTTCACATCTGCACAAACATTAAGGGGTCAGGATATGAATACATTAACTGACAGTAGCATTTAGGGTGGTTCTGCTTTGAGCTAAATGGCTTTTTGAAAGCCAAGTTGTCATCATTTTCCTGTGGGCCTCAGTGATAGAGGTCACTGCATGAGTCACCCAAAACATGTCCCTTTTTTTTAGGTTGCTGGGAATGTATTCCATTAAATGCTTAACAGCATTCATATTTATTAATGACTCCTTTCATATACCTTTATGTATTTGGAGGGGAAAATATGTTTTCAAGTGTTTCCAACGCGAAAGGATTAATGCAGTTTTAGCTTCACTCAAGAGATAGGAATAAGAAAGTGTTCTCTAACCTGACATTTCTGTATCTTCTACAGAGAGCTTGTAAAGCAGATCAGCAAGCATCTGATTAACATCCATGCCATGGACCATGCCATGTCTCTGGCCAATGAGTTCAGCTTCAAGATTTCTTGAAACAGGGTCATTAGTGTTCATTACTGCCACTACGTGTAGAGGAGGGTCACTGTTTGGGACATCTACTAGCCACGTGTTCAGTTTCAGAGGAAATGAAATATCAGCTTAATGGGACTGGCTTTTACCACTTGCACAGTTAGGGTCCTGAAAAAGAACTAACAGAAACACTTTCTTATGTAGTCCATGCCCTGTGAAGGCATAAGTGTCCAGATCTTGTTGTCACGTGTGCTGCCGGTCATTTCTGATGCAGATATTCTTCTTCACTTAGAGTGTCCGTCTTTGAAGATGTACTGGTCATATCTTAGTGTTTCATGGGCAACATATCTCGAGACAACATGAAGTGTGAGCTGCTTGGAGGCTGATTTATGTTGTTGTTTAGTGCTAGATAGGTTCTAGAAATAGATTGAACAGAATACTTATTCCGAAAGTCCATGCCATTTTGTGTTGGTAATCATGTCTGTCTGCAACCTTCTGTCTAAACAGTTCTACCTTGACATGATGCTAAACTGTTCAGCACCTCTCTCTTGATCTCCCTCGGCCTCTTGTCCCCTTTATTTTTCTTATATACTCCAGTTTTTCTGTGATGAAATTCCCAAGAAATATTTTATTTCCCTCTGATTTGCAAATCAGTTCTCCTTGTGATTATATTGTTTTCATGACATCATTAACTTAAAAAAAAATAATTTTAGTCTCTCTCTCTGCTATGCTAATTGTTCTTGTCTTTTTCTTCTTAGAATCCATGCTGTGTGGCATTAGTAGCCTTCTGTCTCGTGTACTTTCAGTCACCTTTGACACAGATGATGTTTCATGCCATGATGTCAGACTGTCCAGCATCTGTTCTCTCGGTCTTCCTCTGCCTCTCCTCCCTTCCAGCTTTTCTACTGTCAGAATGTACTTCAGTTTTCTCCTTCTCATCACATGACCAAAAAATGTCTCTTTCTGATGTGTCAGTTGTCTTCATGAATCAGTTTCTTTCAGGAAATCTTCATTACTCTTTTTTATCTGTCCAGGGTATTCTCATAGATCTTTTATAGAACCACAATTCCACAGCTTCCAAATAAGTTTTTGTATAACACACATTTTGTGCCTGTTATTGTCCCCAATTTTTATTTTGTATTATTCACGTCCAGAAGTGTGAAAGTTTTCTTATTAGTGTAATGAAATATCTCTGAGTGGTGGAGTCACTTGTCTTGCAGTAATGAAATGTCTGTGTGACTGAATGTGGAGCCACTTGTCTTGCAGTAATGAAATGTCTGTGTTACTGAATGTTGAAGCCACTTGTCTTGCAGTAATGAAATGTCTGTGTGACTGAATGTGGAGCCACTTGTCTTGCAGTAATGAAATGTCTGTGTGACTGAATGTGGAGCCACTTGTCTTGCAGTAATGAAATATCTGTGTGACTGAATGTGGAGTCACATGCCTGCTGTAATGAAATGTCTGAGTGTGGGAGCCACTTGTCTTGTAGTAATGAAATGTCTGTGTGACTGAATGTGTAGTCACTTGTCTTGTGTCATGAAATGTTAAGTGATGTGTGAATTATAATTGTCAAAAATAAACACATGAATTTTTAATGCAGATTATATTGTAGTAGCAAATATAGATATGTATAGAAGATTGTAAAATGTATTATTGTTTCTTGTTACATGTTGCAATTAAAATAGTCATTAACTCAGTTTGTCTTTTTGTTTAAGTTGGGGTCACTGACTTCATTTTGTTTAAGACAGGAGTTACTGCACTCTGTATCTTTCTGTTGCTGTTTGAAGTGTATCTTTCCTTTGTCATTTGAAGTGTATCTTTCTGTTGCTGTTTGAAGTGTGTCTTTCCTTTGTCGTTTGAAGTGTATCTTTCCTTTGTCGTTTGAAGTGTATCTTTCTGTTGCTGTTTGAAGTGTATCTTTCTGTTGCTGTTTGAAGTGTATCTTACTGTTGTAATTTGAAGTGAATCTTTTATCTTTCTGTTGCTGTTTGAAGTGTATGTTTCTTTAGCCGTTTGAAGTGTATCTTACTGTTGCTGTTTGAAGTGTATCATTCTGTTGCCGTTTGAAGTGTGAGATTAAGATTTGACAACCCATGCAAGTTTGAGAATGGAACCCTGGAAATTAATCCAACATGGCAAATCCCAGACACCCCTTTCTCTGTCTCAAAAACTTAGGGCGCCTGTGACGGATACACCAAGAATTACCTTGATGTCATCATCATCATGTAGCAGGTCTTTTGCACAACATCGCTCTCATCACGCATTTTCACACTTAAGGAGTCACTTATATCCTGTGCCCATCTTTGTGACGGTCCGCCCCTGCCCCTCCTTCCTGGTACCATGCCTTCTGCTGTACCTTGATGTAGCTTAGTGTTTAAGGGGGATAAGTTTATTACTAATATGTTGAGATAAAAACCCTTAAAACCCCTGCTTTTTTTCTTTCTAGGTAGATAAGGATGATGTTAATTTAGATGAACAATTGTTCAACTCGAATAGTTAAGTCAAAAATAAAATAAAATAAAGGCTGGAATATAAAAAGATAGTTGTGTATCCTTTTACAGGACATGGCAGTACCAACCCCAGAATTTGTTTGGCTGTGGTGGTTCTAGGCAAATTTACGTTCAGTAGTTTGCCAATGCTTTCTGGATGGTTGGCTTCTCGATACCACTGTCAAAACCAACACAACGCACAAGGCCCGCAGCTGGAATCGAACCTAGGCACCCCGGCATTACAAAGCGTGTTCGCAACACCTGAGCTACAGACGCTGACGCTGGAATATAGGCATTTTCAAAAAGTGGCAACACACATCATGTTGGAAATATAACATTTGGCGGAGGATAGACACATGTAAAGCAGTCAAAAGCCTAGTGTGTGATGAGGGAAGAATGTTCCCAAATTATTGTTTCATTTGACTGAAAAAGATTATAAGGTTTTTGTTTGAATTTCGCTTCTTTTGTTCACTCTGTGCCTCTTGACATTTTATTTTTCTGAACAGTTTTTTTTCATCCCACATCAACCATCTTTGAGTGGGTACCAGGTGCAGACCTAGGAAGTAAAAGTGGCTGGCGTGATACTGACCATATCGCCCACTAAGTGCTGATTGGTCTATAAAAATATAGGTCTAGCCCTATATTCTCAATATGCCTAAAGAGTTGTCAAAGGGACCTTTTTAACTGTTTTTCAGAGCAAATGGTTTGCTACAGTGTATCATATTTAGGACAGACTGGGAGTGTTTGTGCACATGGCTGTTATTCAGTTTAATAGTTTCCAAATGTCTCTAAGGCCAGAATTCTCAACTATTTTGACTTGCACAACCCTTTTCACAAGCAATTTCTTTTTCGGAGCCCCATAGGCCTACTGTACCTTATATCTGTCAAGTTAATGGCGTTTAGAAATATTGTTTCGGAATAAAACCAGAGGGTTGGATAGTAAAAGACTTTTAAGTGAAGAGATATCTAAACAACTGCACAATAGAATTATATCTGTAAAACTTTGAAATTAGTATAATAGTCAATTTAAGCGCTGGTGCCCCCAGTACAGGGACCCGTCGTAGTGTAGTGGTTAGACACTCACCCTGTGGATCGGGAGGTCGTGGATTCAGGTCCTGACAGCAGCAGACTTTTCAAAAATTCCCTTTGCTGCCAGATAATAAAGCGTTTAGTAATGTTAAAACGCAACTTGTAACGCAATAGTGAAAAATGTGCTGTGACAATTCAGTGTGAGGCAACTTCCTATCGATCAGTTGGTTCGTCCCTACCTGAAGCTTGACCACACTGGAATTTTAAAAAAAATATATATATATATATATATTAGCTGGAACGCAGACCCCAGATTCCAATTCAACTGGAAAGAATTATAATTAGGCACACATGTGGGAACAAAACGTCATAGACCATGTTGTGTGGTATGGAAGGAGCAGCACATCAGAATGGAAATTATAATGAGGGAGGAAATGATTACAGAAGGGATGAGAGATATGCATCTGAGAAGAAACAGACTAAATTCAAATGTTGACAGCAACGGTCCTGAAATCCCATGCTATAATTGTGAAGGTGTTTTTTAAGGCGAGCGGGTCTTGCTAGTCACACTCGCCATCGCCATGCACTTTGATTCTCATGTCTCCTCATGGCACAAAATAACACTTGTGTCTGGAAAGAAGGAAAGGTGCCAATATGTGTAAAGGCAACACCCGCCTGGTGTAACCTGCAATCCTATGTGTATTTTTTTTTTTTAAAGATCCAGAAACCATGCGTTATTAACCCTTTGGCTTATACTATGGATATCGCAACCCTTCGGCCTTGATTCCATGATAGATACTGTTAATCTGGGAGAAATGTTGCTTTTCTACCTACCCCCGGCCGTGAACCCGGACCACAAGCTCATCACCCAGTCGCCGCGAAGTCAGGTTTAACCAACTACGCTAGCGAGGCGGGCAGTCCTATGTGTATAAGAATGAGCCATGTCCAGTGAGTCATTAATGTTCAACCCCACCAGCGACTAACACCAGGTGACACCACTTGGATGAGAATCTCCCAGGGGCTAGTCCCAGAAACCCCGTTCAACAGTAAGGTTATATTAGGGTCCCCGGTAACAGCCAGGGTGGGGCTTTCAAATCATACAAATATTGTGTCTGTTATTGGAATGGAAGTAAAATGATCCACATCGACAAATTAGTCTCTTTTTTTTCTGTATGTTTTGACCGAAATCCAGGAATTCTTCAAATGTTCCCACTGCAATACAAACTACTCTAATGACAGTTCCAAGAAATCACAGACTTTCAGTTCCAGGAACGGCAAGTGACAGAGTGCGTGACAGATTCGTTCACTTTCGTTGGCTGTCAATAATTTTGGAGCTAGTGGCAGCAGATTTTACTTTTTGTTTCTTTATCTTTAATTTGATATTTATTTTAACAATTACAGCAACAATTTACGAACACAGTAGACCTGTCTCCACCTTTCTGAACAAGCACAAAGAAAACCCTGAGTATGCTCAGTCCCCTCCCAGATGTTCTCGGGAAGGATGGG